GAGGCCAATTAGGAAATTTCTGCTGGCTGCATTAATGTCAAACTGACAACCCTCGCTATAATTACACTGTGCTTGAAACCTAACTTTCACTTGTGGGTAGATGACTGCGTCTGGCAGTGACATTGAATTCGCTCTGCCAGCTTTTGATCATTTAATCATTGCTCGCTTTCTTTTCCTCTTTGCTAGCTGATTATTTCACCTTTATTCTTTCTGTTGCAAAATGCAGTGTTGTCTTTCATTATTCACAGTTGCATTTTGCAAGGCTCATTAGTGCCATTGTTTCTTCAATTTGCTGTGCATGAGAACGGTGGTTCCTTCAAGTGCAGCAACCATATGTAAGTTGTTTACCTACTTGATTCGCCACATACATTGTACTATTTGACTTAAAAAATGCGGCATCTCTTTTAAATAGACAGGGTTCTTTACATTCACGATCTTTACGAAGACGGTGTATGTTTTACGATCTCCAGAAGAAACCTGCAGGTGGCCGGCTTCTTCGCTGGTGAGGCACCATGTATTTCCCTGGAAAAGCAGGCTTTACATCTTCAGAGCGCGCCGGCTCGCTCGTTGTACCCAAGCGCGGCACGGCGCGCTGCCGGCGGAGCGCAGCGCAGCTCCAGGCCCCGCGGCGGCGGCTCGGAGCCTGCCCGCAGCCGGGGCAGCACGGCCGGGCGAGCTTCGGCGGGGCCGGACGAGCAGGGCTCGGAAGCTCGACCGGCGTCGCCCACCGGCCTCCGCCGCCTCCGCGGCGCGGATCTCCGCTGCCCCAGCGTGTCCTGTCGCCGCCCCGGGGCACCTCGCCTGTGCCCCCACCCCCAAACCCCCGCCCCGGCCTCGCCCCTCGTCCTCGTTCTTTCCCCTTGTCCCGGCAAAGCCCAGGAGCCCCGAACTCGGTACGGGGAGGCCCTCCTGTGCACGGCCCGGCCGGGCCCTGGCTGGGCAGGGGGCTCGGCGGGGACCCATGGTGCCCCCTCAGCCCAACGCTGAAGCTCCGAGGAAACAGCCCCCCCCCGGCCTGGAAAGCGCCGCTCCTCCCTGCAAAGCCTTCCCGAGAAGAGCAGGGATCTGAGACGAGGAAAAGCATATTTATCGGATTGGCATTTTTTTCTCTCTTAACAGCACTTCTTCCTAATGATATTTACTTAACTGCATTTGACAGCAGTTAAGAACACGTCTCCTGTAAACAGGATCTATTCTCCTTCTGCCTACAACTGCCTGTCAGCTGCAAAGCCAATCGCAGTAATAACCGCTGGATCATTTTAAATGTGGCTAAACCTACGTTGGACAAAATCAATCTGCCATTTGTTGGCTCGGAAGGAAATCACTTGCACAGTTTGACGAATTGCTTGCAATACCCTTCAGCAATTCTCAATCGCATCGCTATGCCCCTTCCTCGCAGCCCTCCTCCTCTCTGCTCCGTGGGTTCGTTTTATTTTTTTTTTTTTACCCTTTCGCTTGGACTTCAGGTAATCTGAAATGGCACTGACCCTTCTCATCCTTCCGATTACCTTTCTGAAGCATGAACGTGGTATAAAATCACACATCAGAAAATTCACTATAATTATTTTGCAATGCCATCAGCACAGATCCATCAAGGAGGAAACCCAGTAGTGGAATGCTCCTCGCAGCCACATGAGCGGCCAGTCCCGTCCCGCCTGAGTGACAGCTTTGGTAATTAAGTGATTGTAGAGACCTCCCCAACTGTTCTAACAACCTTGTCAGGGCCTGTCTGCGGACAGAACAAGCTGAAATCAATGTGCTTTCTGCTCCCTGAGCATTTCTGATCATGTCCTCAGCCTGCAACGGGGAAAACATCTGACAAAAGAAAAACAGTAGCAGTAAACGTTGAGATTAATTTTTTGGAACACAAAGTTAACTTTTTCGATCCTTTTTTTTTTTTTTTTAAATCTTTTTAGGAAGGGAAAGGCAGAAGGCAGCGGAGAGCCGCCGCCCGCCCGGCGTGTGTGGCTGGGATGTACGGGCTGTGGCCGCGCTGCTCCGCGCCTGGCTCCGCGCCGCTCCGCGCCGTTTTGTTCCCGCTTGGAAACGTTCTGTAGCGTCTCTCACAACGGCCCCAGTTACTCGAGGTACAATATATTTTCGCCTGGATTAGACGGCGAGTCTGTTGGCACAGTGTAAATGTCAAGCAGCAGCTTTTAATAAAGGGATGTTCAGACTGTTAAATTTCACAGTACAACGGGCTCGGCCCCTCCCGGCCCCCTTCAGCCGCCCCTCCCTCCGAGCTGCGGTGCTGCCAGTGAGCCAGCACGACTGCGCACCAAAATTCGAGTAGGAAGTAACGCATCCCGGGCCCGAAATGATGCACCATGCCATCCCCGAGCTGTTTGGCGGAGGCACCCCCGGGGCCCGCACCCCGCTCCTGGGGTCCCCCTCGATGCGGTGCGGGCTTCCCGTGGGGCCAAGGCGGCAGCTGCTGCACCCCGCTCCCAGAGCCTGGCCCCGGTCCGTGGTGCCTCGGCCGGGACCGCCCCCCAGGCGAGGAGCGGCACATGATACCCCGTGCCTGCCGCTCGCTGCCCCAGCCTCCATCGGGCCATTGATTAACGCTCTAAGTGCCGCTCTAATTAGCTGCCTGCTAATTAACGAGCGGGGCCCTGTCCGACTCCTCTGAGTGGCACCTTCGCTCATCGCTTTGATTCGGCTGTTGCTGATTTATTGGAGGGGGAGCTCCGTGGCTTTGCCCGCAGTCAGACGGGTGGGATAGATGGGAAAGGGGGGTCACCCAGCCAGGGGCGTAGGGGACACGGGGCGGCAGCTGTCATGATCCACCCCCGGCCTCAACAAGTACAGCGGGCGTCCCGCTGGTCACCTCGCCCGCAGAGGGTGCCAGCAGGAGGTGGAAGGCCTTTTGCGCCAATGCCCCCTCGCAGGGCTGATCAGCGCCCCGGGAACCCGAACCGGCCGGCGGTGAGCGCGGCGGAGCAGGCCGGGCTGAGGCTGCGGGAGCCGGCCGGCAGCAGAGCGGCTGTCCCGGCCGGGGCGGGACTCGCCGCCGCTTTCCCCTAAATATTTCTGCACAATGGAGTCGAGGATTAAAAAATAAGAGGAAGGAAATGAAAGGTGTTCACTCTTCAGGAACATGACTTTAAGCCCTAAATCCCGATTCCGGGATGGGGAAGTGTATTGTGAGTTAAAGGATTACGCTAGTGTAACATATTACCCCGGATCCCGCATTCCCCCAGGGATAATTAGGACATAGTTTTGGTGCATTGCAAACCAAGACAGCAAGATAAACATGAGCGCCGCGGGCTGCTTCCCTGCTGCAGGAAACCTGCCTGTGCGCTTGAAGATATTTAAATACTTTTCCCTTTCTCCTATTCTTTCAGTCTACTCCTCAGTTTCACCTCTTCTTCTGTCCCCTTTTTTCCTGCTTGTTCCTACAAATGCCTCGATCTGTAGGAAGGTGCTGGTCAGAGCTCGCCCCGCGGTGCTACCGGGGCTGCGGCGGCCGCGTTGCCTCCGGCCCCGTCCGCGCTGGGCGCCCGTCGGGGACAACGGGGGCGGCCGCCACCGCCGCCCAGCGGACAAGGGCGGCCCTACAGCTCTGCCGGGCCCTCCGCCGCCGCTCCCTCGCCAGCACCGGCGCCTAAAGCCCGGCGGCAAAGAGCACAACCGGCTGCCCGTGGGGCGGCGGACGGCAGCGGGAGATGTTTGGTAGCAGCGGGCTTTCCTGACGCTGAAAAGCCTTCTCCGAAGTGCGGCACTGAGGCCGGGACCTGCTCCCGCCGCAGCACCGAGGGAGGACCGGTGATCTTCGGGTAGGGCACCGGTGACCGGTGAATCCCAGGGAAGCACCTGGATTTTTACCAGCGAGGACACAGACTCCTCGCCCCGCTCCTCAGGAGGGAAGGCAGGCCCCAAGCCGTCGCAAGCGGAGCAGAGGCCGCGGCACTCCACGCCGCATCGCTCGTGTCGGGGCGCAGCTTCTCATCCCGCACCGCTGTCCCGGGGCTGCGGCGTCTCCCGTCGGATCCAATCGTCCGTAACGAGTTACCGGCTGAACGCGGTCCCTCGTGCTCTTTGTGCTTCCTGTGCGTTCCCCGCACCCTGCCGCACCTCTGAGCGGGACTGTTTACCCGGGAAGCAAAACGCGGCGGGAAGCTTGGCTGGAGGCGCACCCGCGTTGCCGCCACAGCCGCACCGTGCAGGGCCGGACTGGGCACTCCCGGTTACGGGGCGGACAGGACAATGAGCGGGTTTAGAAGGGACCTTCGTGTCCTCCGTCCCCGCTCCTTGCTCCAGGCTGACAGTGGACACGCATCACCGGGACAGCCGTCGTATGCGGAGCGGGGATGCCAGCGGCCCCACACACAAGGCAATACTTAGTGCCGTCGCTAAACACCAGCTCCCCAGAAATCCCTCTTGCAGTTATCCTGCCCTAATCGTTTCCCGCGGCCCCACTGCCGTGCCCCGTTCCCCCGTGGCCCCGAGGTCTGCGGTCACGGATGTTTTCGGGGCTGGTCTGGTCTAGGGGTTACTGCAGGCCGGGAGGGGGGGTGTCGGGCTGCGCTTCATAGGACCCTGGAAATTGTAATTACTACTAAAATAAAACTCGGAGAACTCTAAATCATTCATTATCACCTTTATAATTACTCTTCTAATTAGCTTGACACGCCGCTTCATCAGGATTAATACGACGTCTTGTCGCTGGCACTTCCCATTATTCTGACATTTAGCCGGGGAACCGTCCCGGGAACACCGGATGATACTCTCCGGGGGATCCGATCCGGCGACCGGGGAATCGAGGCCCGACGGGGCGGCGGCGGCGGCGGGGACGGGCCCGGCAGGGAGCGAGGGCGCGCCCCCCTCCCGCGTCCGTCCCCGCCGCGGCCGCCGATTGGCTGCGGCCCGCGCTGCGTCAGCCCCCTCCCGGCCCTCCGCCAATGGGGGCGGGCGGCGGCGGCGGCAAAAGCCCGGGTTTATAATAAACGGCGGGGGGGCCGCGGCGGCTGTGACGTCACGGGGGGAGTCGCCGCCGCCGAGAGGAGCTCGGTGGGCACGGGCGGGCGCGCCGCAGTGGCCGGTGTCCGCCCCGCTCCGCTCCGCGCCCGCAACTTCCCGCAACAAAGTTGGTTAGCGGCGAACCGGCCCGGCGGCGATGTGGGGCTCGGCGGGGGCCCCGAGTTAGTGTCGACCGCGCCGCCGGTGCGCGGGTTGGGGTAACCCGGTTCCGCCCCCCGTCCCTTCTCCTCCACCCCCGGTGAGAGACCCCCGCGGCCGCCCACGGGGATGCGGACGCGGCGCTGAGCGTTTCGCCATGGAGGGGCCGAGCGGGTCCAGCTTCGGGATAGATACGATCCTGTCGGGTGGCAGCACCGGCAGCCCCGGAGTCATGAACGGAGATTTTCGCCCCCACGGCGACGGCCGGCCGGCGGATTTTAGGAGCCAGGCCACGCCGTCCCCCTGCTCGGAAATCGACACGGTGGGGACGGCGCCCTCGTCGCCCATCTCGGTGAGCATGGAGCACCCCGAGCCGCACCTGGGGGTGGCGGAAAGCCTCCCGCCGCCGCCGCACCACCTCCACCTCGGCCCACACCCGCCGCCGCCGCCGAGTTTGCAGCCGTCGCCCCCGCAGCCACCGCCGCCACAGCTAGGCTCGGCCAGCTCCGGCCCCAGGACTTCCACCTCTTCTTTTTTAATTAAGGACATTTTGGGCGACAGCAAACCGCTAGCGGCGTGTGCACCTTACAGTACCAGCGTCCCCTCTCCCCACCATACTCCCAAGCAGGAGGGCAGCGCTGCACCGGAGAGCTTCAGGCCCAAACTCGAGCAGGAGGACGGTAAAGCCAAGCTCGACAAGCGCGACGACACGCAGGGGGACATCAAATGCCACGGTGAGTACGGCGCGGCCCGGCTCCGCACCGGCTCGGCCGCCGCTACAACGCGAGCCGCGGCGCTCGGCCGCGATGGTGGAACGAAAATCGGGGAGAAAATCTGCGGCAGGAGCGCTCGCTCTGCCGGGGCCGTTCAGGGATCCTCGCTACCGCGGGGATAAGGCCGGTAGGAAATGAAATTAAATCAAATCGCCTATTTTTTAAATTTTTAATTTTTTTTTTAAAAATATCTGTTGGTCTTTCCTCTTTTTAATTGTTTTCTTTTTTTAATTTGGCTTCCCCGTTTTTAAGGAAATAGCCCGAGCAGCGGGATCGCATGGGAAATCAGACTGTATTTATTTTTAATGCAAATGCACATAAATGATTCTCTGGCTTTCTAAGAACCGGCGGCTCAGCTGCAGTTAGTGCATTCAGCCTTTTTATTTATGCTCATTCGCTCTAAAATTAAGATGAAAAATTCTACTTCCCTAATTAACAGCAAATAAAGGGGAAAAAAAAAAAGAACAAACCCAACCCAAACAACCCCACCCAACTTTTAATTAAAAATAAAATAATAAGAATAAAACAACAACTCGGCCCGCGCTCGGCGTAGTGAGATGTGAGGGCTTTGTGCGTTTGGCGAAACCCTCGAGTTTTCCCTGCACCGGGATAGAAGGTTTATTTCTCCATCTTCAATTTTTTTTTTTTTTTTTCAATTAGGGGTTTGGTGCTGATGGGGAAGCCCCCGCCGTGCGGGGTTCGGAAGTGAAAATAGCTATGTGTGCGTGGGAAGGGGAAAGAAGGAAAAGAGTGAGGAAAGGCAAACAGAGAGGGTATATTTTCCCTGCGGTGCCGGCGGAGCTGTCCTTCCCGCCGGCAGCCCGGTGCAGCCGGGAGGCAACAGGACAAAATTTCCTAATTTTGCTCAATTGAGTTATTTTCGCCAGGCTCAGAGCGGCGCGGTGCCCGCGAGTGCAGCTCATTTTGCTCTTTTAGCATTAGCATACGAGTGCCCAAACCAGATGTACAGTCTGGTCTGGCCATTTTTGTGTGCACCAACCTCCCCAGTGGGTCAATTAGGGAGATTATTGTTCTTCCTGCGGGGAAGATCAAGGAGCGCCACAAACTGGGGCCCGAGTGGAGCCGGATTGACAGATCGATTTCCCGGCGTTTCGGGCCGGGGGGAGAGGGCAGAAAATAACGAAAGCCCTGTAGTTGGGAAACGGAGAGCGGGAATCCCGCTGTTCCCCGGACGGGCTCGCCGCCACCACCCCCCGCCGTAATTGACCGTTCCCCCCGTGTCCCGGAGAAGTCCCCGGGGAGGGGGCGGCGGGGCCCGGTAACCGGGGCGGGGCGGGGGCCGAGCCGCTGTCCCGCCGGTCCTCACCGCTCTTGGGCTCACTCACAGGGACAAAGGAGGAGGGCGATCGGGAGATCAGCAGCAGCCGGGACAGCCCGCCGGTGCGGGCCAAGAAGCCTCGGAAGGCACGAACAGCCTTCTCCGACCACCAACTCAACCAGCTGGAGCGCAGCTTCGAGCGGCAGAAGTACCTGAGCGTGCAGGACCGCATGGACTTGGCCGCCGCCCTCAACCTCACCGACACGCAGGTCAAAACCTGGTACCAGAACCGGAGGTAAGGCGGGCCCCGTCAGGGCGGCGGCCCCGGGGAGCCGGGGCGGGCTTACGCCTCTGGGTTTGTGCCCGCGGGAGCCCGGGGTGCTGCGGGGAGCTCCCGGCTGCTGCCCCGCGCCCTCCCCGGCCACGAGCTGGGGGGTCCGGCTCCTGTCAACGCTGCCGTAATTTTCTGTCTCATTACATACGGTTGCAGCCACCCTAATTCTGTCGCAAACCATTAGTGTCAGCGCGTTGCGATCTAGCCGCGTACCGCGGTTATTAATTTGGCCGGAGTCGCCGTATGCATGTGTCGGGGGGTGCGGGGCTCGGAGGGGAAAGCGGGCAGAGCCGGAAAGCTCGCACGGTGTGCGGGCCCACGGGGACAGTACGCTCCGTCGGGCCTGGCTGCCCCATCGCGGCGCCCGCCCTGCAGCCTCTTGCTCCCCCCGGCAGGACCAAGTGGAAGCGACAGACGGCGGTGGGCCTGGAGCTGCTGGCCGAGGCCGGGAACTACTCAGCGCTGCAGCGGATGTTCCCCTCGCCCTATTTCTATCACCCCAGCCTGCTGGGCAGCATGGACAGCACGACGGCAGCTGCGGCGGCCGCAGCCATGTACAGCAGCATGTACCGGACTCCCCCCGCGCCGCACCCCCAGCTCCAGCGGCCGCTGGTGCCGCGGGTGCTGATCCACGGGCTGGGGCCCGGCGGGCAGCCGGCCCTCAACCCCCTGGCCAACCCCATGCCCGGCACCCCGCACCCCCGGTGAAACGGCACCGCGGTCCCCGCAACGAGCCCTTCCCCTCCCCGTCCCCAAACAAGCCCCAGCACCGCAGAGGAGGAAGCGAGGGGAAGCCGAGGGGCAGGAGCTTCTGCAGGCAGTCACCGGCCACCGAGGGAGGCGATCAGTCAGAGCAGGGACTCTTGAAACGTGAACCCAGAGCCAAGCCCGTAAGTGAAACGACCACACGCGGGGGAAGGCGGGCAGAGCCGCGGGGCGACCCGCCGACCTCGGCTCCTGCGAGGCAGGACTTGGAGCTCGGAGAGAGAGTTCCGGAGGGGGTGGAGGAGAGGGAGAGGGAGCCCGAGCCCGCCGGAGAGACTAACGGCTGCGGAGGACAGAGGGAATGAGAGCGCCTCGACCCCCGACCGGCGGAGAAGACCGGGGGAACGGAGAACTTTGCACTGATTTTTCTCATTACCTTTTTTTTTTTTTTCTTATCGAAAAGTGGCATGCTCCCTAATGCGAACAGAATTGTACAGACCGAGTGCTGAGTGCTATATCATATTTATTATATGTCGTCCAAAAAAGGAGAAAAAAATCACTTCTATACGTTAGTTTAAAACGAACAAACGTGGTTCTTCCCTATCCCTTTTCATGTCTTTTTGGATTCAGTAAAATAAATGCTTAGATGACAAAATATAGAATTTTTTTTTGTGATTGAAAAATCACAGGGGAAAAAAAGGAAAAAAAAAATAAACTTTATCTTTTTTTAACAAACGCAAAAATTCAAGGTAGCTAATTTCCCCGTGACGAGAACTCAAGAAATTCGGAGTAGAAAAGGCAGATGCCACTTTTTAATTTTGAATATTATATTGAATATATTTTGAATTTTAGGCTCATTGTTTCTTAACAGGCGCTGTTTTTCCCTATCTGTATTTTAAAGGAAAATCAAATCCCCCGCAGGTGTCGAGCCCCTTGCTGTTATTTTGAGCACCTGGGCAGGGCGGTAACGGGTAGTGGCTGTAGCCCCTTGGGGGCGGGTGCGACGGGGCCGTGCGGAGCCTGGGGCCGTGGCCCCGGCCCGGCAGCTGTCTCGGCACGGCGCTGGGACCGGCACTGAGCGCCGGCGGTCGGGGTGAGTAACGAGGGGAAACAGGCAGGGAGGGCGGAGGGGTCCCGGCGGACACGGAGCTCCCGAGCCCCGCTGGCCTTTGAACTGTACTGCTGTGTGTGCCCGTTCCCTCCCTCGCCATCCCTTCCCCTGGCAGCGCCTCCCTTCCCCATGCCGGCGGGGGCCGCCCGGCCGTCCCGCGGGGGCAGAGGGGCTGCGGGTCGGGACTGGGGGCTGTGACCCTCCTCTGGACTCCGGGGACGGCTCTGTCCCCAGCCGCTGGAGGTGAACACCCCCCTGCGAAATTAGAAAGTTATACAGCAATTACCTATAAAACATTCATAAAGTCCCATATTATCCTCTCCTCTGAGGGTTTGGCGCTTCGTTGTTTTTTTTTATTTTTTTTTCCTCTCTCTGTTTTTGCTCGTGGGTCCCCTTTCTTTTAAGATAGAAGGGAAAAAAAAAAAAGAAAAAAAAACGAAAAAAGGAAAAGAGAAGCCTCCGGGCACGTTTATTTGGGCTTTGCTAATTAGCGAGCGGCTTGCTGATTTCTGTGCTAATAAATTCGCGTTAAAACCATATTGACCTTTGCCTTGATCTAACAAAAGGGGAGCGGGTCGGGAACGCCCACTCCGGTTTTTGCCCGTGTTGCGGCGGCTGCTGAGTATTCCCCGGCGCCTTCGCCGTGGCCCCCGAGCACCCCCCGGAACAGGGCAGGGCCCGGCCACCCCGCATCGCCGCCCCGCTTTTCCCGGGAAACCCATCCGGGGGCTGGGGAAGGAGGTAGGAAATTTGGACTCGTTAGGGCCTTTTTCTTAGTCTAAGCAACAAATCTTTCCTAAAAGAGGAAATCCAGCTGGAAAAGCCAGTCTCAGCTCGTTGTTCTCGATGGCTCGGTTTTGACTGCATAAACTCGCTGAAAAGTAGTGAGAGCAAGGAAGGAAAGTTCATGCAAAAATGAACTGAGTGGTCCCCTCACGAGCAGGGCCTGCCGCGGGGTGCCCACCGGGGCAGGGAGTTTTTGGTCTTTGGGAAGGGCAGCAGACAGGAGCGACAGGCGTGAGGCGGGGCTGGGGCTGCCGGTGTCGTGCAGGACGGTGTCTAAACCGGGGGTGCCGGAGGAGGGGGGCGAGGAACCGCTACCACCCCTGAATCGTATTTCCAGACCCAGCTGAAAATGCGTGTAATCGGGAGGAGGTTTGGGGCAAGAATCTCTCTTTCACTCTTCTTTTCCCCGTGTGGGAAGTAGGGCTGCAAACGCAAGTTCTTGGTTTGTCCCGCTCCCCGTTCGCGCCGGCATAGAGGCGAGCCGAGGGCAGGCTGCCCTGAAATTGCTCGGCCGGGTCGCCTGGCTGCAGCCTTGTAGGAACAGGTTTCGCTGTCTTTTTAAGAGCCCGGGCACGCGGTCCCGCATACAGCGCGCTGCGGCAGGACAAAGAGCCGGGAGCCGGCCGGGATGCGGGGGCTGCCTCCCGCCGCCCGGCCAGCGCGGGGCACGGCACGGCACGGCTCGGCGCCGTTTGCTGCGCCGCCTTCCCGGCCGCGACGGTCGTGTTTCTGCCCGTTCCTTTCCCGGACAGCTGCTTTCGCCGCTACCGCCCCAGACTTGGTGCGGAGCTGCTGAATTGCTGCAGTCTCGGTCCCTTTCCAGCCTCTGCCCTTGCCTGGGCCAGGTCCTGCTCTCGGCCCTGGAAGTGGTTGTGATCAAATAACCAAGCTCATCTGTTGCCAGACGAACGGGACGGGCTCTCTCAGCCTCAAGCAGCGGGCAATACCGGCACCCGCTGGAAAAGACCTGGCTGTTGGTGCGCTGAGCGTGGAAACAGTCCGTGAGGCTGGAGCAGGGCTGTCTGTACTCGAGGGACCGCGGCACCCGCGGGCTGGCCGGGAGTGAGCGCTCTCCCCAGCGGCCCGCAAGGAGCGGGGCGGCTCCGGCCCCTCCAGCCTGCGCTGCGCCCGCGGCTGCGGCCCCGCCGCGCTCAGCACCGCGGACAGCGCCGGGAGGCGCGGGCCGCCCGGCCCTGGCAGGGCGGGCACGGCAGTGTCCCCTCCTCCGGGACACCGCAGCTGCCTTCCCCGGCGGCTGCCGGCGGGCCATGGTGAAGATGGCTGGCACAGCCTCCTGCTGCCGAAGCGCTGCCTGGCTCGCCTCCCCGCCACCCAGCAGCTGGGAGCGAGTCCCTGTCCTAGCCCGGACCTGGCCCTTCGGCCCCGAGCGCGGGCTGGCCCCCAAAGGCTTTGTGCCGGGTGTTCGAGCTTTGCCCGAGCACCTGCAGACGGGTTTAAAAATGGGGCAGGGCCGCTCCCCTTCTCCCGTGTCCCGTCGCTCTGGACTGACACCGGCGTGTCCACAGTGAGACCCAGGAGACCCTTTGGGCACCCTGTGCTCGGTTCCCCTTTAGTTTGTTTCTTCTGGGCCGTGCTATGTGTTTTGCAAGTGGGCACGGCACCGGCGGCTCCTTCGAGGCACCCCTGCTGCGCTCAGACGGGCTCCGGTGGCTCGTAGAGCTCCGGGCAGGCTGCACCGCTGCCCGTGGCTGATGGGCTCTCCTGAGGGATGCAGCAGCAGGATCATGTTTAATTACTTCACCCTCTCGGGGGATTAGCTTGGCCATCGTTAGAGCAAAAAGCGAGAAGGGAGACTCCGCTGGGCTGGGGTACGGGGCGAGCATTGCCTGCACCGCTCCAAGGGCGCTAGCCCTGGCGCCGCTGTGGCAGCTGGGTGCTCCGGAGCTTAATCTTCTTTCCCAGCCGGGCAAGCGAGCCCGGCTCAGCCGCTGGGAACCATTCAGCAGCACCGAGCGGAATTCCCTGCCGTGCCGGTTGCCCCGGTTGCGTTTAACACACCGCCCGCGTGTAACGCTGTATTGGCGCTCCGGGGCTTGGCTATCACGCCTGCAGGTTTTAGCGTTTCTTGTGAGAGTGAGTTTTTAACTTTTGTTGTCTTCTGCCTTTCCAGAGTTTACCTTCCTCCAAATTCACGCCACTTTTCTGTGCAAATGCGTTTAACTGATGATGTAAGTCACTCTGAGTCCTTATTGCAGCCCACTCAAAAACCTCGGAAACCCAGGAGATAGAGTGAGTGCAGCTAGGCTGAACTCACCTGTGGAAAGAGCAAAAGCCTTCATAATGTCAGAAATATTCCCAGGCCAGAGGTGGTGAGCATGGGCGGTGAGTAACCGTTTCAGGCTGAAATTTACACGCTTTCCCCCTCCTCTGTTCTGTCTTGCTGCTAAGCTCGTTTCCCACCGGTGATACTGCCGGTTGCTTCCCCTGCAGCCGGTTTAGAGGGGACTGTGCTTGCAAGAAAACGGGGGTACAGGGAACCTGCCTACCGAGGGGGCCGTGTGCTCTCGTCCCGTGGGAGAAGCAGCCTGCTCTGTTTCGGCGATGGCACCCAAATGACCCCGCCATCCCTGCAGGGGCACGGCGGATGGGGACGGAGACCCACGGGACCGGCGGAGGGCGGGTGTGCGAGCCCCGAAGGCGCAGGCTCCCCGGGCCCCCGTTACATGAAAAAGCCCCGAACTTCTTTCCTCCCTTGGGCTGCTCCAGCCGTTCAAGGGCCGTGGGGCAGCCGGAGCCCGTGCCTGTCTCTGCGTGTTTCCAGCCGGAGAGCAGGTCCAGCCAAGCGCCCATCGCATTAAAACTCCCTTTCCATATTCATATGCCCTATTTTTCACAAGTCGTTTCTATTAATGGAAGCGCACAAACGCCGGTCCTTAAAATTGGCGGATTTCAAAGGAACCCAAGTGAGGCACTTTGCGCTGGCAGCGATGGATGCGGGGCACGACGGGCCCCCCGGGGCTCCCCGGGGCTCCCCTGCCCCGCAGGAATCCGCTCCGCCGGGGGCTCTGCTCCGGGCCCGGCCCTCGGCATCGCCGCTCCCCTCCCTTCCAGCACGGGCGCACCAAAGTTGTCCGCGACTGTCTTGTTCCCTCATCTCTGAGAGCCCATGTAGGGCGCTTTAATTGCCACATTTTCAAACCGAGGTAATGGTGGGGATGTCTTAGTAATTACCTTAATGAGATAACACCTTTCCTTCCCTGAACCTACTCATTATCACACTTCTTGTTCAAATTCCAACTACAAAGAGCTATACTTGTAAGAAGAGGGGGAGAGACCTCTGAAATTTGTTGGAGGTCTTGTTCCCTTAAAACAAGCACCTTCCATGGATCTTTAGTATATGAACAGGGAACTGTACCTAGTTCTGGGAAAGGTTGTCTAGAAGTAAACTAAACATCTGGGGTACCCCTTAATTATTCTTGGTTGGTGTCTTTAGTTTGACCTGTAGGGATGCAAGGGTGTCAAAGTGATGAATTTTAAGATGTTGGGCTGTGAAGACGTGCAGCTGCAAGACTGATGGGTTTAGGAAGGGAATGGTAACAAGGTTAGCTGCATGTGAAGTGTGAATTGAGATTTTTGCAAAGAGACTGTGATTGCAGATGGGCATAATGTTGTACCCTTGCATGAAATCTTGCTATTATTGTATAATGGTCAGACAGAGTGTGAAATGACTTATTACTTTACTTTTATTCTTTAATGAAGTTGGGTAGGGAAGGAGAACTACCAGGAAATCGATAGTGGTGGTGCACAAAAACTGTATGACAGGTGCTGATACATTAAATATTTATTTAGCTTATTGTCACAAACTCCCTCCC